GGGGGGGTTAAGTGTTCAGCCTTGAGCAGGGGTTGAGTGTTCAGCCTTGAGCGGGGGCTTGGGCATTTGGGCTTGAAGCCAACAGGTGATAAAGAACCAGACAGAGGGTTTGAGTGGTTAGGTCATCCTCCAGCTAACTTTGTTTGGCCATGCCCTGCAGACAACTTACTCAGCCTGTCCTGCACCTAACAGTAATAGCACCTACTTCCTTAAAGTGCAAGAAAAACTATAGGAGTGTAAAGCAATCAGAACTGCTAACAGGCTCAGAAAAAGGCTATGAAGCTGCTTGTTAAATAAGTAAGCGGGGAGCTGGAGATGTATCTCAGTGGAGAGCACTTGCCTGGCATGCATATAAGGGCCTGGGTTCAGTTCCCAGCACCAATAAATAAATAGTTTCAATTCTGCTTAGTGCCAAAGGTTTGGGCTCCTGCCATTGCTACCCAGAGAGCCTAGGAGGAAGCCTTGACGATGTTGCAGCATACCTTCCCACACCCCCAACTTGGTAGATGCTTTCCATACCTCATGTCACCCTGACTCCAGGAGACAAGGAAAGATTTTTATACCTAGTTCCCACAATGAGGGAACTCTGAAAGCACCATACTGCTAGGGAGTGATGGGAATGGGACAAAGCCTAGGCCTGTTTGCCTCCAAAATGGCCTGAGTAAGGCACACTGTCTTCCTCAGTCTGGAGCTCAGGCTTCAGCTGTCTTGGCCAGTGCTTTGTGCTTCATCAAGCTGTGTGAGGCACACTGTGGTTTAACTGTGTCCTCCAAAGTCCACTCAATTCCCAATGTAGCAGTGTTTAGTGGTGAGAATTTTAAAAGACAATTGGGTCATAAGGACCTTCATAAATGAATTAATGTCATTATTGCCATAGTGGGTTGTTATAAAGGTGACTCTGGACCCCTTTGTGCTCGCAAGTGCTCTCTTGCCATATGATACCTTCTGTTGTGTTATGACACTGCAGGAAAGCCCTCACCAGATGCAGCTCTTCGATCTTCAACTTTTCAGCCTCCAGAACCATGAATCAAATAAACTATTGTTTATAAATTATCCAGGTTGTGGTATTCAGTTATCAGAACAAAATGGACTAAAACAAGGCACAAGCCCTTGCTTCCCAGATCTCTGTGTCCCTGCCTGTGGAGTGTCCTTGCTGGTGGTCATAAGGAGCCTGTGAAGGACTGTGAACACTTTCACAGGGGAGGCCACCCTCATCCATGTCTCCAGAGCTGTCTCAGAATCTGGCTCAGCTTCTGCATTGAGTTTCTCCAATCAAAAGGCAAAGAGATTGAGACCATCTGCTGCCACCCAGATTCTCCAGCACCTTGTTGAGGACACCTGGCTCTGGTCCTCTCGCACCTTGGCAGGAATCTCTCTGAGCAGTGACATCCAAAGGTTCGTGGGCTGGCTTTGAACCAGTAGTGGGCAGGGAGAGAGGACGACAGGAGGAATATAGAAAGCTTGGCCTTTCCCCAACAAGGAATTTTCAGAGAGCTCAGATGCATGTGCATGTGATGGGTTCCTCAGCCTGCTGGGCCTAAGACTGGCCTTCCCTTCCTTCTTTCCACTGGTCTACCTTCTTCTCCACTTTGCCTGGTTCTAGGAAGCCTGGACACCCTTCTCCTGAGTGGATGCACAGAGAAACACTTCCGTGGCTCTGAGCCCTGGGCAGGCCCATGTCTAAAACAAGAAGGGCATCGGGACTTTGGGATGGAGGGTTGAGAGCTGGGAAAGGCGAGGGGCAGTAAGCCCTATTTAACAGAGGGGAGAAAGTCAAAACCAGAGGCCCAGAGAGGGGAAGGGCCTGGCCAGCAGCTACAAAAAATAAACAAAATAATGAGGAATAAATTTAATTAAGCAAACGAAAGGCCTATACACTGAAAGCTATTAAAATTAGTAACAGAGTGAGGCTGGACCTTGTGCCCTTCCTTCCCACGGCCTTCCAATAAAGGAGTTACTTGAAAGTATTGAGACCAGGGGGGCTTTAGGGGAAATTTCATTCCTTGCTGCCTCTCTCCCAGCCCTGGGACCTGACATGACCCTGTCCTCCCCACCAGTATGGCCTAGAGGCAGTTATGCATCCAGATGGCTTGGGGATGTGCTGGAATCCATGTTCCACTAGGGATGGATGTGCCATTCACAGTCCCCTGGGGATGGGGGTCAGAGATGTGAGAGGAAGGTCAGAGATGGTAGACAAAAATGACAGGTCCAAAGGGTTCCCTCCCTTATCATTTTTCCTGGGGCTTCTCTTTGTCCCAGGATCTCTCCTCATCCAGCAGGATCACACTGTGCATAGACCTTATATCCTGGCTCAGGACAGGGGCCTTACACCATGGACTTCTCCACTTGGGTCCTCAGTTTCCCCTGGACATCTCACCTGACTTGCCTGTCTGCTGACTTGAATTCCCACAATGATGGTGACCATGGCATAAGGCTCCTGGTTGGGAGCCTGCCCCCATGGTTCTTGAGAAAGAAGAGAAATAGTCTCTTTATAGGGGCAGCCTTAGGATTGCTCTGTCCCCAAATCCCTTGCTACCTCCACCCAGTGTATACACTCTGTGGGATGCCCCCAAAGCCTGGAGGGAACACACAACTCTTTATCTCTGGCCAGATACGTCTCCTAATTCTGGTGAGTTGACCACTCAACAAACACAGGAGGCCTGGGGGTGGGGGAGATGAGCATGAAGCCCTCCTTTCTCAAGTCTGCTGTGGCCCCTGCCTCTGGTCAGTGCATTCTTGTCCCCAGTTCAAGAGTCCCTGATGGTAGTCTGGACTCAGGAATGAGCTTGGTGTGGGGCTCCATTCAGAACTCTGCCCCTCCTGGGTTCCAACCTGCTTCTCTGATCCCTTATTTACATAGTCTAAACCCTACCCAGATGTGAGGGTCTCCTCTAACTCCCCATCCCACACCGTTGGAATCATGACCTGCCCACACCTTGGTCTCCATGGGGCCCAGCCAGGTAGATAGGAGTTATCCCAGCAGCACAGCAGCAGGGCTGGTGCCCAGTGACCCTGAGGTCCATGATGCAGAAAAGCAGAGGCGAGGAAGAGCATCACCTTTTATTGTGGAGGTGCCAGGGCCCCTCATACTGACAGAATCTTGAGACTCCAGCCTGGGATAACCATCTGGTGTCTTATAAGAATAATCTCCATCTATCCCATTAATCCCATGTTGAGCATTTTCACTGTCTCTCTGGGAATTTATGGGACCTCCTAGGCTCCCACCACTTGCTATCCCATGTGCTTGAAAGCATCCTCAGCCTGGTGGATGGTGAATCATCTAGTACAGCAGCTCTGGAGTTCAGACCCTGGTTCAGCAGCTGCAGAGCCCCAGGTAGAGGTAGTGGCAATGGTCCCAGCCACACTGTCCCCAGGATCAAGGTCCATGCCCTCATAAATTGTGGGCAGTGAGGTGCGCTGGCTTAGCCGTCGGCGCAGGCCAACTAACAGGGGCTGGGGCATGGAGGCCACATCCACGTTGTTGCCCAGATCCACCCAGGCCAATGCAGGGAATTTGGTGGTGTCCTTGATGGCTTCAGTGAGTTCCCGGGCAGCAGCCCGTGTCAGCCGGTTGCCATTAAGCAGGAGCTGGGTGAGGCAGGGCAGTATCCACAGGCTGGGCAGCAGCAGGTGCAGAAGCTCATCACTCAGCTCCGTGAAGCTCAGGTCCAGCACTGACAACCCAGCCCCGTGGCTGCCCAGGTAGCGTGTTATGTGCTGCACATCTTGCACTGAGAGCGGGATGCCTGAGAGGTCCACCGTCTCCCCTGCCAGCAGAGTCTTCTGGAGGCCACTCTTGAGGCTATGGGAGAGTTATAGGTGAGATAGACTTAGTATGAGCCCTGGCCCAGGGCCAGGCAGAACAAAGTGTGAAAARATTTGCTGTGAGGATTAAATACAAAAGCAATAAAGCTCCATGTGTGAACTATTATTATAAACCCTTTTCACATGCCCAGCATCACCACACCTGTTAGATCTCTTATCTCATTTATTTTTACAATCCCCGGGGGGTTAAGAATGATGACCCATTTTTTTTCAAAGGGTTAAGTAACTTTCCCATGGCCATGGGGATCAGGTCTCCAAATTAAGACACTCTGATTCCTGAGCTAAATTTTTTTTTTTCTGGGCTCCCTCTGAATTGGGTCCTTTGGGATAGCAAAAACTTTCTTACAAGGCTGAAAAACAAATACTACATGTGCCAGGGTCAGCTCCTAGCTATGGTTCTGGGTCCCTAGGACTGAGTGCTTGCAGCCAGTTCCAGGCTGAGTCTGTACCACAAGGCTGTGATGGAGTGACCAAGGCGGGGACCCCACAGCAGAGTAGAGGCCTCAGCTTTGGGCACCCCAGCATTGGTAAAGAATTCCCAAGAGTTACAGGGTAATGAGAGAGGGTATAGCCTAGGACAAGCTGCTTTGCCTCTCCYAGCCCCAGTTTCCTTCCCTGTTAAATGGGAATTGTGACACAGAATCTGCCCACCTGTTGTGAAGATTTACCTAATGCCTGATGAGATCACCTTGGGTGGAGGGGAACCTAAAGAGCCCCAGGACCTGTACCAGGCCAGGGGTTAAGGGATAAGTGAATGGCAGGAGGTGGTCGTCCTGGGGGGCATGGGAGGCATATCCATGGAGAGTGAATCTTCAATTTTTTTTTTTTTTTTTTTTTTTTTTTTGCCACGGGCCAGATTGACTTTCAGAGTTGAGGCCTTAATACAGGAACCCACAGAATGGGATTTGCAGGCACCAGGCTATCAGTGATAGAAGACTAGGTGTCAACCTGGGAAGGGACCCTGAAAGGACAAGAGGAGGGGCTGTGGTTGAGCTCCCCTTACCAGTTCTGTGTCTTCTTCCGGGGCACACTGGGCCCTCTCTGCCTCTTGGAGTGAGGGGTGAGATGGTAAATGAGCTGCCGGCATATCTTGTCCGAGGACTTCCAGAGCTCATAATCCTGTTGGGGGACAGCATCATCAGGGTGAGACTGAGCCCCTCCCACCCCCACCCTGACTTTGACCTGGCACAGAGCCAGGGGAGGCTGCCCGCTGGGAGCTGGACAGGCTGGTCCGAGGCCCGCAGTGCCCGGCGGGAGGAAGCCCAGACAATGGGCCCTTGTTCCCTGTCCTCAGGCCCAGGGCCAGCAGTTCGGGCTGTCAGCGGGCAGCCTGACTACCCTCAGCACCCCCAGGGGACTTGCCACAGGGGGAGGCCAGGCCAGGCCCCTCAAGAGAGCCCTGTTCCACTGACGCCAATCCCAGGGGATGGGAACAAGCCAGGTCAGCATGTTCTTCTTCCTCTCATTATCCAAGCTACACTGCGCCCGTGGGGCCTGGGTCTGGGCTAACAGGGCTGGGGGTTTAATGTTTTACAGCACCATGTCCTGGCTCTCTCTTAGTCCTAACTGGGCCCCCGCAAAGGCCTAGCTCAGGGCAGAATACACGGTGTGCTTTCCACAAAGCTGGTACTGAGCCTGCTCCACTACCTACCCGGAACGTTCTTTTATGCAATCCCTCTGTTAACAGCCTCAGGAGCATATGGCAGACTCAGTGACAGCAAGCCCTGGTAGTTACTGTGATGGCTATGGGCTAGCCAACTGCATTCAGATTTGGGAGTTCAGGATGGCAGAGCCTATAGTGGACACATTTGTTTCATATGGCAGATTCACTGTGACTAGGGCTCAGGGGCTGATGGCTGGCTGCAGCCATACAGTTTGGGGCTGTGTCCATAATCATGGCAGACCATCTGCAAGGTGTTGTCAGATTAGGGCCCAGAGTGTGAAGGCTGCAGGTGGTTGAATCCAAGTTAGAATGAAAAGGGACTTGCTGCTATGGGAGGGACACTGAACATTTATCCCCAAGAGTGTCCAAGTAGGATGGATACCAATGAATAGGCTCCAGCAGAGGGTGGCCTCTTCTGGCTCAGGGATTAAAGGTTGGGAATCCAGTTCTCTTAATGAGTTTGTCAGAACATTTTGTGTTCTGCAGGGTCTCCATTTAACTTCTGTTCAGCTAGGGTTCCCAGGCCTGAATCAYAGGTGCTGTCACTTGGGAAAAAGGTCTACCAAAAGCATGATCTTCAGGTTGGGTAAAGCACATTTGCCCCTGGAGCTGGCATCAGTTCTGAGAGAGAGAGAGAGTGACCTACCTAAGGCCACAGAGCAAGCCACATGAGGACCCAGGCTCCTAGCCTCTGTCAGCCACACTGCCAGTCCATGGCCCATGCATGCTGACCTCACCTTCTTGGGGCACTGTAGGTCCCGGGCCAGGTTCACAAGCAGGTCATGGGAGATGGGATCCACCAGGTTGAGGAAAGCCACATTTCTATAGAGGATGTCTGTGAGAAGGGTCCCCTCAAGGCCCAGGTCCTGAGGGTGGTGAAGAGGTAGTTGAATGAGCCAGGAACCAGGGCCTCCTTGCTCCAGGTCAGACAGCCAGATGCCCCTCATGTTAATTTCCATGTCTCCCCACCTCCAGGGAGCAAAAGCCAACTGTCTGGTGACAGGTGGACCCTTTAGATGAGGAGAGGGGTGGCACATGGGGTGCCCCAGGGAGGTAATGAACAGATTACTCAGACCAGTTGCTGCAGGCAAAGTGTCTTGCTGTGACACCTTGCCTTCTCTGGGGTTAGGGCCTGTCAGGGGGATTCTATTCCTCTGATGACCTGTGAATGGAAATGTCCYCCATCATTTCCTTCTGGCCCTTTGCCTTTCCTTCTGTCTCTGAGATCTCCCAGGCTGCAGCTACCTGTTGAGGTTGGCCTTTTTCCCTTCTCAGTTGTGACAGGCGTCTCAGACTTGATGTGTACATCGGCCTCACATCCTGTGCCTTAGCTTAGTATGAAGGGAATCACTCATCACTCTTTCCTTGCCCTCTCTTCTCCAGCTCACCTAGTGGGTCTGCTTCTTCTTCCCCACTGCTCCCATCAGGTTCAGGTCTACCTCTCAGAAATCTCCTCCCAGGGTTTTCAGTCTTCCACATCCCTCCAGCTGGCAGGGCCAATCTATGAAACACACATCTGAGCTTGATCCATAAGCCCTTTGGAGATGACCAAACCTTTTAGAAGTCACATGACATCAGACTTACAGTTTGCCGAGTCCCAAAACTCCCAGTGCCTGGCCATCACACCTTCTCTGGCCTACCAGCTTCCTCTTCTATCTTTTGATCACATCCCATGGTCAGGGCCCTCGCCTGGCCTTCCTGCCTTCATTTCTTGGTCTTTTCCTGTCTATTCCCATAGACCTGATATGGGGCTGAACACCATTCCAGAGGGTCCATTTACAGGATGCTGATGGGGCAGGCAYAGCTAGGAAGGACCTTCAGTCTCTGCATGGGCCCTCCCCAAGCCAGAGAGTAACATACCCTGTGCATTAAGTCCCTAGCCCAGGAAGAAAGGCTAGGCAAGAGCCCCCATGTGCTGTAGTATCATGGGGGGAACAGTTCCTGCAGATTTAGGGGCAGGATAGACCCCTTGGTTGGCCTCAAATTCCAACCTCTGGGAGACAAGGGGGTGACCTAGCTGATCTCTAAGAACCCATCCTTCCCTCCTTGATGTTTTTAAGGGAAAATGCCCAGCTGATGCCTAAAGACCATCTCCAACAGTGATTTCTGCCTCTGGCCAGTCTGGCTGACTAGGTGCTGCTCTGCTTTTTGTATTTTCAACATAGTTCAAACCACAGATGCCAGCCAGGGAGGATTTTGATGGAGGAAAGGGTGACTGTTAAGTCTGGGCAGACCCAGACAGGGCCCCAGACCGCAGTCTGCCTTCTGCTGGTCTGGACAGCTCTTCTTAAAGGGCCAGTTCCACTATTCCAGACTGCTGAGCCTGGAGAAAGGAAACTTTGGTGGGAGGAGGAACAGGCCTAATAGCCTGGGCTCTGGCTCTGGCTCCCCCTCTCCTTTGGGTCACCACTTATTTCCATGCATCCGTTTCCCCTTCTTTACTTATCTACCTTCTGTCAGCCAAACACCTTCATGACTGATTTCAGCTCATTTATTGGGCAGGTGGTGGTGGAAGCTGTTATAGGGGATGGGAACAAGGTAGACTGGGAAGTAGTAGGTAGCATGCCCAGGGCTGATGCTAGGACCAGCATCCATGTCTCCTAGGACAACAGTAGGGCTCCAAATCTTAGGCTAGAGAACCAGCGCTCCCCTCCCCCACCCCCACCTACCGGGATATGTTACTGTTGTGTACAGATGTCAGATGTGTGTACTCAGTGGGCACAAACTGCCTGTTAGATGGACGGGTGATGCATGCCTTGTGGCTTTGTCTGTCCTGCCATGGTGTCTCCTGGTGCACCCGCAGATCAGCTGGGCTGTACCTCCCAGGTCCTGCCTCCCAGGTCCAGTTCTTACCCTCATCCTGCCCTCTTCCCACTGTCCTTCAATAGAAGACCCCCATCCAGCCCTTCTCCTTTCCTGCCAAGGCATGAATGTGGGCTCTTAGTTCCAGGCTGGGGGCAATCTTCAACATATACACAACAGACTTCAAAACCCAGAGCTCCAGACACACTGGCCCCCGCCTCTGCACAGCCCTCCTCCGGCCTCACCCAGCCCTCACTCTAGCCCGCGCGCTCTGGCCCAGAGAAGAACCCCAGCCTCAGCACTCCATCATACTCTCATCCAACCATCCCACAGCCCACAGCCCACAGCCCGCAGCCCCGGCCCCTCCCCGGACCCCAGACCCGCCCTTGCCACCAGCCCCGGGTTGGCCGGCTCCTTCTCTCGCCTGGCGCAGGAGGCGCAGCAGCTGCCGGGCGCGCTCCGGGCGCCGCTCGCGGAGTGTGGACTGGATCTCGCGGAGCCAGCGCACCCTGCGCTCGTAGGGCGCGGGCCCGCTGCCCGCCGCTGCCTCGGCCTCGGAGCCCGCCTCGGGCCCTGCCCGCCGGCCTAGCCGCGCCCCCATGGCCGCCGCGCGGCTGGCGCCTGGCTAGCCAGAGGCCGGGCTATCTGCGTACCGCCCTCGCCCCGCCCTCGTCCCGCCCTGGCCGGGCTGGGATGCGCTGGGTGGGGAGCTCCGATCCAAGGCTGCGTGCCCGGGCCCTGGCCTCCCGGCCTGGGGACAAGGGGTGGGACTCCTGCATTTGGCAGAGATCTAGCAGGAGGGCTCCGCCGGCGTCGGACCTGGCGCTTGGAGCTCTTCCCAAGGGCCGCCAGGGAAGACGCTGAGCCTAGCCAGGACGAGGTGGCGTTTGGCATCTCTCAACCCCCTGGCCTGAGTACTGACTAGGGGAATAAAAGCGTTGACCGCGCAAAGAACGCGCCAAGCGGGGTGGGGGTGCCTTTGGCCGGCATTAGACAATGTCAGCACCTGCTTTCAGGAATCTCTTCTGCAGCATGGCAGTTGTATCTGATCTTCCACTCTGCATCCATACAAAATTTAATGCCAGTCCCTGCATGCTGGCGGTGGTGGGCACGCCTGGGCATACTGGGAGGAGCCCTCCCCTGCCTGGGAGATGAATGGGCTGAGGTGTGCTGGTTAACTGGTAAGCTCAATTATGGGCAGGTTGGCAGCAGGCCGGCTGCATCTGCCCCTGGCTTCAGCATTCCTATTAGACAAGGGGGAGGGGGCAGGACTCAAGTGTGAGGAGGGGGCACTGGCTCCTCCTAGGATCAGGCTTGAGCTACAGGGGGATTCCCACCTCCAAGGTCTCCCTCAGTAGTCCCTATTGGAGGCCTAGTGCCCACCACCACCACCACCACCACCAGGCATCCTCCTCGGCTCTCCCACGCTCCCCACCACCAGCTCTGGGATCCTCACATTACCTGAGGGGGAGGCATTTGTGGCCCTGGGCTCCAGCCTCCATTCTCACAGGCAAGGGATATGTGTCCAGCTTGTAAGGCTGGGGTGCCTAGCTGGGCTAGTGAGTAGGAGGCATTTGAGGACATATAGTGAGGGCCCACCATCAGGATTCTTCCTTTAGGTCAAACATTGCCTGCCTAGAGATTGGGGTGGGGGGTAGGGTACCAGGCTTTGTGGACACACCCCCAGGGGTGTGTCCCTTAGACAAGGCAGAGGACAGCAGAATGTGGTAGTCTCTTGACCACTCTCTGATTCCTCCAACCCCTGTTGGGTCAATTCTTGGGCCCCCTTCTCCCTGGGCATCTGTCAGCTGGACCCAGAGGCCTCCCTTCCCCCCTCCTCTGCAGCCAGTATTGTCCTAGGGCTACCTTGGCACAGCAGGTTTCCTCCTTGGCAAACCTGCATGACTGCCCAGTCTGCCCTCCCTCAGGGCCAAGACACTTTGCTGAATTGACACTGTGACGGGGCCAGAGCTTTAAGCAGCAGCCCCAGTGCCCCAGCGACTTCTCAGACCCCCTGCCAGAAGCTGGCAGCCAGGTAAGCCCTCCTTCTCCTCCCTGTCACCCTCAGGGCTGGAGCCAGAACTGGATGGCTCCCAGATCTTGATCATATCGTTCCAGAGACTGAGCCAGGCCTGGACATTGTCCCTTTGAGTGTGAGAAGACTGAGGTGGGGGTGAGGGGTGAGGAGAGGGAGGGCTGAGTATGGGTGTCAGGATGGGGGCAACATAGGCAGGGGCATAGTGAGGATGCCCAGAGCTGAGAGTCTTGGGAAAAGCACAGAACCACCCCTAGCCCCACATCTATGTTCCTGGCTGAGAGATTCCTGGAGGACATTTTTTCCAAGAAAGGAGGGAGCTGGTGTCTGGGCCCAGATCCCTGGATGGGCCTCTCTTACCCTGCTGTGGGGGATACCTTGGGTAAGTTGTCTCTGGCTTAGCCTGACTTGTACAAGAGCCCCCAGAGACAGGGCTGTCCCCACAGTAATGGGGACATCATTCTACCTCGCCAGCCTCCATGTGTACTTAACTGAAGGATACTGGCCCTTCTCCCTGGAGTTTTCCTGTTAAGCAGGATTTGTGGAGACCCTGTGAGATGGAGGGGGGACTTCAATGTTGGCCTCTCAGCCCCTAGGGCTAATGTAGAGGTGAGGGGATTAACCTGGGCCCTTTGGAGCAACCCTACCACCCCTAGGAAGCCAGTGAGATGGAAGTTGGGGGCCCAGAGTCAGATAGGAAGGACATAGCCAGATCCTAGTCCCTGATGGAGCCTATGAAGCACCATGTGGGACCTACCAGGAGACAGGTATTGGTGATAGTCACAGCCCTTGACTACCCTTATGGTGACTCAGTTGAAGTGGTGGGGGACCAAGATCTGGGTGACCCAGCAGGTGGAGTGGAGGGCTGCGGCTGGGTCTGGAACTCAATGTGCCCCACCTTTTGACCCCTTCTCTACCCACCTGATGGGATAGTCCAAACCAAGAAGGAGGAAGGCCAACTGAGGCCTGATGTTACCTCAGCAAGTAGCCAGATGACATAGAACTTCCTGGAAGCTGTGACAAGGAAGATGCAAGAGTGGTTTTGGAACCTTCACTTGGAATAAGGAGGCATCTAGATACTCTATGGAGACAAAGTGAGCTTGCCCTGCAGGGGTGGGTTCTCAGTCTTCTGCAGGGCAAGGAATTGCCATGGGGCTGGGGGACACAGCAGAACATGGGCGGGGGATGTTCAAGGTATAGGTTTAAGACCTGAATTCAAATCCCTTGAGCCATTGCCCTTTGTTTAGTGTGTCACCACAGACATGGTAGGGAGTTGTGTTARTTTTCTGTGTCTGCCATAACAAATTACCACAAACTTGGTTGCTTAAAACAACAAAAATGTATCCTTTCACTGTTGTGGAGTGTAGAAGCCCAAAGTCAGGCAGAACCAAGTTTCCACTAAAGGCCCTGGTGGAAAATCTTTCCTTACCTCTCCCAGCTTCTGATGGTCTCTGCCAAGTTTTGTTATTCCTTGTGTAATGCATCACCCCAATTCACTCCAATCCCAGCCTCTATCATCACATGGCTGTCTTCCCTGACTTCACATGACCTTCTTCTAAGGACACTTGTTGCTGAATTTAGTAATACTACCCTAATCCAGTATTACCTCATTTTAGGTAATGACATCTGCAAAGACTGTTTTTTTTTTTTGGTACCAGGGATTGAACCCAGGGGAGCTTAACTAGCTTAACTACTGAGCCACATCCCCCAGGCCTTTTTATGTTTTATTTTGAGAGAGAATCTTGCTAACTTGTCCATGCTGGCCTTCTTACCTCAGCCTCCCAAGTCTTTGGGGTAATAGTCGTGCACCACTGCGCCCGGCTGCAAAGATTATTCTTATTTATATATTTATTTTTAAAATTTGTTGGTTGTAGATGAACACAATACCTTTGTTTTATTTCTTTCTTTTTATGTGGTTCTGAGGATTGAACCCAAAGATTCACACATGCTAGGCAAGCACTCTACCACTGAGCCACAACCACAGCCCCAAAGATTATTTTTAAATAAGGTCATATTTTGGGGGCTGGGGATGTGGCTCAAGTGGTAGCACGCTCGTCTGGCATGCGTGTGGCCCGGGTTCGATCCTCAGCACCACATACCAACAAAGATGTTGTGTCCGCCGACAACTAAAAAATAAATATTAAAAAATTCTCTCTTTAAAAAAAAAAAAGATCATATTTTTGGGCCTGGGATTGTGGCTCAGTGGTAGAGTGCTTGCCTAGCACAGGCAGGACCTGGGTTCAATCCTTAGCACCACATTAAAAAAAAATAATAATAAAGGCATTGTGTTGTATCCATCTACACCTAAAAAATAAATTTTTCTAAAAAAAAATAAGGTCATATTTTGAGCTTCTAAGTAGACATGAACTTGGTTTGAGGGTRGTTGGAGCCACTATTCAATTCACTTACAGTAGTCCTTGCAGCCTTCAATTTCCCCATCTGTAAAATGGAAAAAAATGAAATGTTCATTTGGCAGAGGTGTCATAGGATTAGAGAAGCAATGAAGAAAGAGCTGGCACACAGCAGAGCTGCATGTGTGAGCTTTTTTACTAATAAATCTTCTATGGTGTGTGTATGTGTGTGTGGGTGCATAGGGTTTGAATACAGGACTTTTGTACACGTTAGGCAAGCTACACCTATAGTCCCTCTTCTTCAACTTTATATGGAATCCACCCAGCTTCTCCCCAGCCCAAATCCATCCATTCAGTGTGTACTTCAGATACTCTAGAGACTAAAGGCAGACAAAGTAGGTGGCAGTAACAACTAATTTAAAGAGTGGTGGAGCTGGGATGGGGCAAAGGAGGGCTTCCAGAGGGCTAAGGTCAGAGTCTAAAGGAAGAGTGCCATTTCAGTAGCCTGCAAAAAGTCCTGGCGGGAGCACTGAGTGCAGAGGAATGGGCAGGCACCAGCAAGGCAAGAATTTATCTGCAGGGCAAAGGGGGCCTTTGAAGGGTTCTCCAGTGCGGGAGGGACATGCTCAGATTTGCATGCTGAGCACTGGTGCTACCTTAGGGAAACAGCACCAGGGTTGCGACCTATGAATGAGAGTCACCAGGTGATTGCGGGGAGCCTGGGGGGGTGGTCTAGGGGGTCAGGAGTGACTGAGAGGGGATGTATAGAGAGGAGCAACTGAAAGAGACCAGTGAGGATGAAGGAGCAGCTGCAAGGCTAGACTCTGGCTCATGTGGCCAGTAGAGGTCTGGGGAAGGCAATTGTTTAGCTCAGGTTGGGGCATGTTGACTTGGGGCATCTGAAACATCAGCCAGAGGGGCTCAGTCTTGGATCAGCATCCAAGAGGTGAGGGAGGCAGAGGAAGCTCCGTGGAAAAGGTGGGGAGCTCTGGAAGTCCTGGTGAGCCAAACAGGGTGTTTGTGGAAAGTGTTGGGCAGTTTGGGCATCAGTGAGGTCATGGGGAGTGGTTGGTGGACAGGCAGGCTTGGCCTGTGACCCTGAAGGCCATGAGACAGGAGTAGGTTGGCTTTCCTGGAGACTGGGCCATGTGATGGGGTGGGGGTTGGGTCATGGACAAGACTCAGCCTTTCCTCCYCAGCCTTCTGGAGCTCTCA